GGCGTCTGCGAGCCAAGTGAACAGCGCTGGGAGAGCGACCCAGTTGACGAGAGAAGGCGGGCGCATCTTGCCGGGCAACTCGGGCAGAACGAGGCGCGTCAACGAGATGATCGAGGAGGCGGTCTGGCACGAGAAGGCATCATTCCCCTGTGCGTGGAAAATGGCGCGTGCGTCGGCTACGTCAAGAAGGGAGAAGGAGCTGCGAGCGGTGAACGTAGAGTTCGGTTTGGAGGTGCGCCTGGAAACGGAGGCGATCTCTGCCCGTTCGGTGATGGGTCTGGCCCGGGCCCTCATCGGCAGGCTCGCGGCGCCGCCACGCGCGAAGCAACTCGTCAGAGGACCGAGCCAGATGGAGATTGAGAACCACATCGCGCGTGGGCATGCTGCTTTTCGCCCACGGCGCGAGGAGCGCGCCGCAGTAGTAGGTCGCGGAGACCAGCGCGCTCAAGCAGCAGAGGATCGAGAGAGCGAGGGCCCGGTCGCCAGCGTCGACTTTGCGTTCATCGGCGAGAAGGTGGGCAACATCGAGGATCCAGGCTCCACCCCCATCATGGCGACTGCTGAGCGCCCCTGCAAGGCGAAGGGCGCGACGGCCGCGAAGGACAAGGCTGCGTCGGATTTCGTTGCCAAGTGGCTCGCGGGCTTTCTCGTGCACCTAGGGCACCGGCGCATCCAGTTCTAGTCCGACGGCGAGACGCGCACCTGCGCGGTCAAGAATGCCGTGATAGTTGCAGCGGGCGCGCAGATTGGGCGCGCGCCGGCGGAGCCCCCCCAAGGGCGAACACAAGGGCAACGGAGACGTGGAGAAGACGGTCAACGAGGCAAAGCGGAACATCAGGGCGAAATTCTATGCTCTGCAGCGCGCCCTTGGATTTGAGACTGCCGTGAACCAATCGATCATCTGGTGGCTTCCTCAGTCAACAGCTGGCGCGATCGCAAAGTTCAGGATTGGCGTCGACGGCTTGACCGGCGAGGCAAGGAGGAATGGACGACCTCGGAAGAAGTTCGTGGCGCAGTTTGGGGAGCGCGCGTTCTACTGGCCGCCCGGTACCGGAGATGCTCGCGATACCTTGGCACCCAAGATGTTTCCTGGAGACTTTGTGGGGCATCATCCGAGGACTGGAGCATTGTTTATCATTGCACCCACTGGTGTCGTCAGAGCTCAAGGCTTCCAGAGGCTGCCCAAGGCTCAGGCGTGGGCAGTCGAGAACTGGGGCCAGATGAAGGGGTTGCCTTGGCAGGTCTCGCGAGACGCGGAGCTGGCAGGCCCTCGTGGGCCTTTGCACCTGTCAACTCAAAGACTAGAGGGGCGCGACGTGGCCATCAGGACGCGCTACATGCTCAAAAGGGACATCGAGAGGAACGGGCAGACGCCTGGATGCCCAGGCGGCGTTGGTTAGATGGCCGCCGGCCCGGCGAGGGCTGCTCATTCGCGGGCGTGCCGAGAGACGTTGAAGGGCGAGGCTGGTCGCGCTCGACTGGCGGAGCACCATCTTTGCACGGGTGTTCGAGGAGAAGCGCAGGGAGGCGGTGCAGGGCAGGATGCGCCAGCAGGCGCGGCCGACGAGGGTTTCGGAAGGGTCGCGGAAGGTGCCGGGCCAGCGCCGGTTCTAGTTGCGCCAGCTCGGGCAGCAGCTGAAGGCGGAGTGGGCCGGCGCGGGAGGGGCGCGGGGCCCAGGGGAGCTCGCGAGCGAGTTGCGAATGAGCCGCGAGGACGAGAGCGACCAGTTCAGCCACGAGCCGCTTCGACGCCAGGTCTGAAGCGGGCAGCGAGTGCAGAGCCGGGCCAGGTCAGGATGACCGTGGACGGCGAGCCGGCGGCGGACGCGCCGCGGCAGGCAGGAGCTCGAGCAGCATCCAGCAGTTCAGGCTCAGTGGCTGCAGCCCCAAGTCCAGGGGGGGCTGGGGGTTCTGGCGACATGGCGGACCTGACACGGCCAGCGGCGTCAGCTGGCAGCAACGTGGATCTGGGCTCCTTCGACGTGGTCAGGGGCCAGAAGTGCCAAGAGATCTCGGCGCTGGTGAGCGCCGCAGACTTGCTCGGCGACAACGATGACGCGCGACGGGCTGAAGGAGGTAGAGAAGACTCTGACCGAGATGAACGAGTTGACTTCGCGGAGATCTACACCCCCGAGAGGTTCATGCAGAGGGCGTCTGGGCTTAGCCCGACGGCTGGGCCTGCAGCAGATATCACCGCGAGGTGGGACTTATTTGACGAGAGGCAATGCAGATAGTGCATGGATCAGTCGGATAGGGAAGACCCGTTACTTTCGACGGCATCGGCTCCCTGTGCTATCTTCTGCTTGCTCCGAGCGCTGAGCCACAACAAGCGGGATCCAGTGGTCGCGGCGCAGGAAATTCCAGAGGCGAGACGCACCGGGGGTTCTCCATGCGAGTATGCGAAAGAAGACATCGACGAGGTGCTTTCTTTCTTCACGAACACCCCTGGACGCTCCATCATGAAATCGACCCTGCGCGCAGCGCATTCGCGCTCTACCTGGGCACTGCGTGGTGCGAGGCCCTATGCGCCGATGGGGCCTACAGCCCCATCGACCAGATGGGCGCAAGGCGTGTGTCCGCAGGGAAACTGGCTGGATGACGAACTCGAGAATCTTGGGTGAGATCCTGGAGGGCAAGTGTCAATGTCCTCGAGAAGGTGGAGGGCCGCACCGACAGGTACACTTGATTGGAGAGAAGCGAGCACGGGCAGCACAGAAGTGCCCCGAGCTGCTGGCGAAGGCGATCCTGAGCGGTTTTCGCCAAGAGCTCGGGCTACGAGAGCCGCTGAGCGAGCTGGCTGGCTTCACTGCCGGACCCTCGCCGCACGAGGGGAATATCGACCAGGAGGCGGAAGCGCGCGGGCGACGCGCCCGGCGGCTTCCTGGGCCCGCAGCGCGCGAGAGAGGCGTGGCGCGAGGAGTTGGAGCGGCGCAGGAGTCGAGACGCCTGGGCCACAGCGCCCAGGCGCGGCATGGAGCGGGAAGGAGGTCGACCGACCGACGCCCGGTGGGTGGACGCCAAGATGGGGAGACCAGGAACTGCCATTATATTTAATCGCTTCGCTCATTCCGCCGGCCCATACAGTCTCATGTCTGCCGTTTGCCCGAGGGCCTGGTGTCAATGCGGCGCTTTGGGGGTTCCTGGGGCCGCTTGGGGGGCTCCTGGGGCGCTCGAGGGGGCATTTGGGGGGCCTCCTGGGGCCGCTTGGGGGCCTCCTGAGGGCCTCGTGGGGGCCTCTTGGGGCCTCTTGGGGCCTCTTAGGGAGGGGCCTCTTGGGGCCTCGTAGGGGCTTCTTAGGGCCGAGGGCTCGAAATGTTGTTTCGTGTTCCCTCTCTGGGGCCCCTTTGGGGGCGTTCTTGGGTCCCTCTTGGGCCGTCTTGGAGGCTTTTTGGGCCGTCTGCGAGCCCTCTTGGGCCATCTTGGGGCCCCCTTGGGGGCCTCTTGGGCCCTCTTGGGGCGATCTTGGGGGTCTCTTGGGCCGTCTTGGGGCGTCGGGAAGCCGAAAAGGTGGAAGCTCCAAAATCTTTCAAAAACCTAAGGAAAAACAATGGATGTTGCCTCCGGGGGCCCTCTTGGGAGTGCTCTTGGAGGCCTCTTGGGGCGTCTGGGGGCTATCTTGGGCGTCTTGGAGCGATCTTGTGGCATGTCGGACCCCTCGTGTACCATCTTGGGGCCTCTTGGGGGCCTCTTGGCCTTTCTTGGGGCTCTCGGGGACGTCTCGGAGCCCTGTTGGTGCGCTCATGGAGCGCTCCTGGAGCGCTCTGGGGGAGTCTCCCGGGGATCGGTCGGGGATCGCCCGGGGTACTTTTCGTCCGGGGGCCCCCAGGGGCCGCCCCGCGCGCGCGAACTAGAGAATTGTTAACCAGTTACCGGAGATCTTAGCACGCCTCTGGCCCGTTAGGCCGGCGAACTATACCGCTCGAGGCTGGTGGCGAGAGAGATGAAGATGCGACGACGTGCTGAAGGTCCGCTTCCTCCTGCAAGGATTTGTTCTCGGGAGCGCCGCCGCTGGAGGCGTTCAAGGCACTGGTCAGCCTTTTCGCGAGCAGGGCGCCCGAGCAGCATCGCAGCGCATCGCCGAGAGAGGTCGCGCACAAGGTCTACGGCGTGAGCCGGACGCACTTCCATGGCAAGGCGCCCCGTAGGATTTGGGCGGGGTTTCTGCCCGAAGAGCGAGAGGGCGAAGTTGAACCGATGGTTGGGCTTCGCCATGGAACCATGCACGGCGCAGTGGACGCGAGCCAGGTGCGGCAGAGCGACTACGTGGAGCTGCTGAAGGACAACAAGTTCGAGCAGGGCCGGTCTGTCCCGGCGACCTTGCGGCATCCAGAGCGCGATGTGGCTCTGGAAGTGCACGGAGATGGTTTCGGAGTGCTGCTGCTTGCCAGCGACGAGGAGTGGTTCGAAGAGTTGTTTACCAAGTACGACTACAAGGTGACTGGGAGATTGTCTTCAGCTTCTGAGGTGGTTCAGATCATTGCATCTCAACCGGGTTCTGGTTTGGCATCCAACGCTGGCGAGGCGCGGTTCGAGGCGGACGTCAGGCGCGTGGGCGCGATTGCTCGAGATTGGAACCCGAACGATGCCAAGTCGGTCCAGACGCCCTCGGTCAAGAAGAACACCAAGGAGATGTTTGAAGCTGAGCAGCCATCACCCCTCGACGAGAACGGTGCTACGTTGTACCGGTCGTTGGTCATGCGAGGTGCTTGTCTGGGTCAAGGTCGGCCCGGTCTGAGTTACGCGACCTCGGCGCTGTCTATGGAGATGAAGACCCCGACGGAATCGGACGTGATGGAGCTGTGTGTTCGGAAGATCGCATGCTCGAGCTGGGGGCCTCAAGTACAAGTTGCTACCTTTACCTGACTGAGTGGACACGCATGTATACGCTGACTGGGCGGGAGAAGTTACGACGAGGAAATCGAGGACAGGCATGATGCTGATGATGGGCTCTCACCTGGCCATGCATGCTTCGACGAGTCAGACCAATGTGGCCCTTTCAGGTGGAGAAAGTGAGTACTGCGCCATACTGAAGGGCGCGACGCATGCGTTCGGTCTGCAGCCCAGTCTGTACGATTTCGGCGTCAGGCATCTGTCTCCGATCAAGCTGGCCTTGGCGCCGGTAGAGTTGCGCAGTGACAGTGTGGCTGCCGAGGTTTTGCAAACTGCCAAGGACTGGGCATGGTCGGGCATCTAGGCGCGTGATTCCTGTGGCTCCACCCAGGACCAGGTGAAGGCCAACTGGATTGTGATGAAGCACATCCCACATCCCTGGCAATGTGAACCCGGCAGATATCTTCACCAAGCCACTGGACCAGACGCAGATGAGACGGCACTACGAAAGATGGGCTTTCTGATCGTCGAAGTGGGGAGCAGGTAGCATCGAGCTTCGGAGGCGATCGACGCTGGGAGAAGTAAAGATTCACCGTGAACAGGTTTATGCAATTGTGGTTGCAATTTAGATTTGCCACGGACCTTGTGCAAGAAGCTATTTCAGAGGTTCTGAACAAAGCCCAAGATGCAGGGTGCGGAGCAGATGTCTTTTCACGGTGGTTTCGGCCGCCGGCGAGCGTGGCGAGCTGTTTGCTTGCTGGGCGAATTGGTCCACCATTTGATCGCGACGGTCGGGAAGCTCGAACTGCAGGTGCTCGCTTAATTTGTTTGCCGACCGACTGTGTCATTGACGAGGCGATATCCTACGACATGGTGGGGGGCCAATGCTTTTGCCTCCCGCCTGCTCGCCGCGTCCGAGATGCGGTTTAAAATCTTTCGGAGAGCTTCAGAGAAGGGGAGTCGTGCAAGAAGATTTGGCGAGTTGAGATTCCGCAGCCCATTTGTGTCAAAACGTTTCTGCGCTCTCTTTGCCCGCTGCGCCCGCCAGGTTAATTTGTCTCGCTCCGCTAAGTCGGCGTTTTTTGGTTGCGTTACAACGCGTCAAGCTCGTGCTTCACGTGTGGGCAACGTCAAAAAAGAGGAGGTTGAGGACGAGGAGGAAGACGAGGATCGACGTTCGAGGAGAAGGAGGAGGAGGAGGAGGAGGAGGAGGAGGAGGAGGAGGAGGGGGAGGAGGAGGAGGAGGAGGAGGAGGAGGAGGAGGAGGAGGAGGAGAAGGAGGAGGAGGAGGAGGAATCGGAGGAGGAGTTGGAGGAGGAGGAACCTGAGGAACTCCAGGCGAGCTGCCCAGGCCTTGCGGGGGCCCCCACGCGCGCACCGGCAGCCCGTCCCGGACCTTTTGTCCGGCGACCTCTTCCTGGAAAGCCGGCGCGCAGAAGGTGGCCCTCCAGCGGACGGGCCAGGCAGTCCCCCGTCCCCGCTCGCTGGCCCAGAGCTCTCCCCCCGCTCGCGGGGTCACGGCGCGCACCCTCTGCCCTGTTGCTCCCTGATGGCTTCGAAGGCACGTCGAGGGAGACCCGGTCGGGTGGCGACCCCAAGTGCGCCGCCGCGTTCTTGTCGCGTTTTTCCCCTCTTCGCGAAGGAATGCCTGCCCCCGCTGCCAGGACATGCGCCTGTCGCCGCGCCGTTTGTTCCGACGCGCGGCCTTAACGTCTCGGCGAGGGCGCCGCGGCCACCAGGGCACGGTAGCGTCGGCTCTTTGGTCGCGTCGAGAACACACGGCGCGGCGACACTTATTGCCCGTTCCCTCTCTCTAGTGCATGTCTTCAGGTTTCAGGTATGTACGTGCACATTGTGTGAAAGTATGGTTGCCAATCGCAATCGATTGCAGATGGCACTTCTGCCGAAAACCGTCCCCACGGAAGGCCCGAACAGAAATGGGCACCCAGCGTCTACGCGCTTCCGTGCTGACGATGGTGGCGGCTGTCGGCGCCGCATGTATTAAATATCTTGCAGATGCGCCGCAAATCATCCGCTTTGGTGGACTGAATATGCGCCGCAAATCATCCGCTGGTGGAGGCCAGCCGCATCTGGACGTGTGCGTACATGTGAGCAAAGGGCGGACTAGATCTCCTGTTTCCCTTGCTCCTCCCTCTGCTCAACGATGCTGCTCAACGATGCTGCTCCCCCTCCCGCCAGGCAGACAGCGTGCGCGCGCCTGCATCGTTCTAGCCACTTGCTTGTAGCATGCGCTTGTGCACGCCCAGCCCCTCTTGCTCTGCCACCCCTGCCCCGGTCCCAGACATCGCGTCCTGGAAAATTCAGGATGGAGGTTTTCACAGTTTTCGGCCTCTGAGGCCCTCGCGGGGCCCCAGGACCGTTCAAAAGCGATTCAGAATGAAAAACCCGCCCCAGGGAACGGTCCGGGACTTCCGGAGACCGCGTCTGGAAAAAGTCAGGACCTTGCATGTCGTGGGGCCCTCCTCTCCGAGGACCCTCACCGAGGTCCGACTTCTGTTCCAGGGAGGCGATTACACAGCAATCGCCTCCTGCTCCTCTGTGTCGGTCAGCCTGCTGGCAGAGCGCGGCGCGCACTCTTCGGCGGTTGCTTTTCAGACTGAGGACTTGCGCAGTGCAGCTCGGGGCTCGATGGTCCCAGTATCGTTCCAGAGAAAACGATGGCCTCCTCCAACTCCACGAGGAGAGGGAGGAGGAAGAGGAAGAGGACAAGCGAAGAAGTGAGGCAACGCAATCTTCGATAGAGCCATGCATGGCCAATCGCACTGCACGCTATAGCCACTTATCGCACCGACACCTTCGGGGCACCTGCCGTACAGTCGCTGCGGGCACAGCCGCCTCACGGCCACCTCTGCTAAGCTCTCGTCTGCAACAGGCACCGTCAAAGCCCGGGTGCCACGATCACCTTCTGCGCTTCTTCGCCGAACTGGCAACCCCTACGGGTCACCCGCGGGGTCGCGAAGACAACCGCGCGCCGCGGTCTGGGCCGGAGCGGTTGCCCGCCTCAACGGGGGCGGCGCGACGGCGGGACGGCGCGACAGCAGGCGTGCGTCGCGCATCGCAGGGCGCCATGCGCGAAGTTGGGTGACCTAGAATGCGCGAGCGGGCAATCGATAGCCACGCAGACCCAGACACGATCGCGTCGTTAAAAACACACACAAAAAAACAGGACGGAAGTGTTTCGCCACGTTCGGCCTCTGGAGGCCCTCACCAGGCCCCGAGACCGTCAACTAAGAACTCAGGATGAAGAACCGGTCCCAGGGAAAGGGTCGGGACTTCCGGGGGCCGCGCGGCGAAAAAAGCAGGACGTCGCAGGTCTGGGCACGTCCGCGCCGCCTGAGGCCCCGCCTTCCTGTGCCCTGTCTCCCTAACAAGTGGCACGTGTGCCATGGCTCTTGCACAAAAAGGAAGTGGGAGGAGGAGGAGGAGGAGGAGGAGGAGGAGGAGGAGGAGGAGGAGGAGGAGGAGGAGGAGCAGAGGAGGAGGAGGAGGAGGAGGAGGAGGAGAAGGAGGTGGAGGAGGAGGAGGAGGGGGGAAGAGGGGGCAAGGCATCGCCCTCCTCCCTGATTAAAGCTGTGCGTAGCCCGCCTGGCTTTTAGCGGAAGAGGTTCGCTCTCGCCCCGCAGACCAAAAATGTCTGGGCACGTCCCGCGAGCAAGCGCGCCGCCCAGCCGCTTCACTCGTTCTTCGTGGTCCCCGGAGGTCGGTTCCCAGAGCCCGACCTCCGCAAGAGCTCCCAGGCAGCGTCAGGCCCCGAAGCGGCAGTTCGTGCTCCCCCCTGTGGGCCGTCTTGGGGCCTCTTGGGCCATCTTGGGGTCCTCGAGGGCCGTCTGGGCTTGGTGCGATAGTGGGGGCCTCTTTGGGCCGGCTTGGACGCTCTTCGGGCCGGAAAGCCGGGTGCATCTGCGCATGGCAGCCCCCCAAATGCAGTTTCTTTTCGGCTGGCCCCAACGGCCTCCAAGGCGGCCGAGAGGTGCCCGAGGAGGGCTCCGAGACGAGCCCTGCAGACCATCCTGTGGGCCACCGCTGGAAGTGTGGAAAACCCCGGCCGCGCTCCCGAGGCCTTCAGGACAGAGCTGCGCGTGGAATCCTTGGTGCGACCACGGGCTCAACCCTGCCCCTTCTTCAGGTCCGTTTGACGCCGGGGAATCGGACACCCCCGCGGGGGCTCACTGGCTGCAGAGATCCTTCGGATTTGGAACCCCGAAGTCTGACCTGCGGAGGTACGGTGGGGGCGTTCGTTAAGGAGTGTGCCCAGCGGCCTTCAGACCCTGGAGGGCCCCTTACAGTGGGGACCCATGCCAAGAAACGCCCTGCTTGCCTCCAGGGTGCCCTGGGCTTCTTGGGCTTCGATGGTTTTGCTATGGCAAGTATGACGCTCCAACATAAGAAAACAAAAACATGGATGCCCTGGGGCCTCGGGGTTGGGTTTCTTGTGGAAAGTCTCTTGTGGACTGGCCTCCACTGTAGTCCACGATTGGAGTTCGACCAGCTTCCAGAGCCTGCATTCCTCCCTGAAATGTGCCAGCGCGAAACGTCGACACGTCGTAAACGATCACGACCAGAGCCCTAGATCCCACCTGTTCATCGAGCACAAGAGAACCCCTAACCCTAATAACACGATGAAGGTGTGGCCTCACTGAGGTCCCCGTCTTTTCGCATGAGGGATAATAGTTCTCGGCGGCTTGGTCTGATACATCTGCAGAAAAGACCCCCTTTATGCCCAATGTTCAGGAGGGAAAGAAACACACAGACACAATGAATCGACGATTTCCAGAAAATATGGGAAACTATGGGAAGTGGGGGGGAAGACAGAAACCCAGAAAATATAGGAACATATGGGGGATCTATTTTTTGTGTGTGTATTTTTTGTGTGTCCTGGGGCCCCTTCGAATGTTTCTGGCCTTCCTGACTGAGGTCCCCTCCCGGGCCATGTCGTTGTGAATCATCTGCCTGCCCCGCTCTGCGAGCGGGGTCGGTCTGTGAGGGCCGCGGGGCCCGAAGCCAGGACGCTTGGAGCCCCAGACATCCCCCTCCGTTTGCTGGATGCTTTCGCCACGCCCACACCCAAACGAGGAGGAAAAAGACGACGAGGAAGGACTTCGCGAATCGGCTGCGCTGCACTCCCGTGCCGCTCCGCCGCAGGAGTAAT